GTTCGGTCTTAAAAATCGTTTAGTTTGTTCTATAAGATCGTTTAGTTTGTTATTAAAGATCGCTTAGATAGTTCTTAAAGATCGCTTAGTTTGTTTTAAAGATCGTTTAGTTTGTTGTGAAATATCATTTTGTTTGGTCTCAAAGATCGCTTAATTTGTTCTTAAATGTCGCTTAGTTTGTTGTAAAATATCTCTTTCGCTTAGTATTAAATGACCGAAAACCTGAGTAACTTTCGGCCGGATGGCCGAAAGTCTAAGTCAATTTCGGCCGAAACCGAAGAAAATCCGAAAGTTAACTTTTCTCTTTCGGCCGAAACCGAAATTAAGCCGAAAGTTAACTTTCCAGCTTCGGCCGAAACCGAAACTTGGCCGAAAGTGATAAAATGGCCACTTTCGGCGCCGAAACCGAAGCCGAAGCCGAAATTCGGTCAGCCTCTAGTGTACAGGACACTTGTTGTGTCTAACCTAATCGTCCTTTAAGAGAATTCTTAAGAAGTCAGTGATGAATAATTTCAAGGTAAACATGTTACAATTCATATGATATTACAGTGTATTTCTTAAATTATCTGCATTTAGATTGTCTTTAAAATTAACAGTGAGATTTATACAATAGTTGAATTCTATTTGTAAGTCAATATTGTTTATTTATGCAAGATGTTGGACGAATATTGGGGTGTTAGCTATGTGTAGGTGTTCCAAAAATAATGGATCCTTATATATTCTTAAATAGTGGTGCTTGCAAATACAATTTGTGTTTACATGTTTACATAGAAAGTGGTGTTTTGATCACATAGTGGTCTTTGCGAAACAGTTTGCTGTTTGCTTATCAAATTATGTCCTCATGTCAAGTGCTGCTTTTATTTATAACTAGCGAGTACCCGGCATGTGTTGCAATGCCACACAAAGAAAGAAAGTGTTAATGTTTTAATTACGCTTTTTTGGAGTACAATATATAAAGACGATACTTGTTGATTTTTTCCATCTAGTGCGTACAAAAATAAATTTGAAAGTTTTTGGACGCCTGAGTAGGCCGCATACAACTTTCCATGTGAGAAGCCTGGAATTTCAAAATTTAGCACACACTCTATCAGCCCCCAAACGGACAATAGTAAAAAGGCTGTACTCATTCATAAAGCTTTACAGGCGTGGGAACAACAACTCAGCAAAGTCTTATCGCAATCGGATCAATGATAGAGGAACGTGATATTTCCCAACTGGAATAATAGGCAGAGACAGGGTAGGGATCATGATTACAAGTTGCCGTTTATGGTTATGAGGCGAGAGGCGAAGGTGGTAACCTCTGGCCGATGATTCTTACTACGCAGCCCTGAGAAGCTGCTCCAAGGCAACCGTTTCGTCCCAGCTGCATTGCGAATTAGTTGCGTTGTGGAAACCCACTGTAGAATCCCTCTTATAGGGCGTCTAACGCTTCCCCGGGATGGGTGGGGGGAAGATATTAGGACGTAAAATTTTCCATCCCAACTCCTGAGAAAGTTGATCGTGTGCACTGTGCGAAATAACACAGTGTGGGACCGACCGGGTATCTTTGGGTTAGGACGGCCCCCGGCGGAGACCTGGTCGAGCAGACTCGGGTGGGGGCCGTCCTGACAAAGGGACATCCCCGACGTGCCGCTCCGCGGCCCGATACCGGGTTGGGGAGGGGTGTTTTGGGGAGGGCATAAAGAGTGCAAGCTCGATGGCCCGCTGACACCATTTCTTAATGTAGTATATATATATATATATAGAGAGAGAGAGAGAGGAACGTATACGGAAATTATAATTAAATAGCTTATATTAGGGGGAAAAAAATGACTTTAAGGCCATCGGCCCCAAGCTAAATATTGTAAATGGTTGCACTAATTCAGAAAACTACTTTTTTTGTCACACGCAAACTGACGCGTCACTGCTGTGTTTGATTCCATTCCATCCACGCATACATAAGCTCTGTTTGAAATTATATTTATATAGATCATTTCATAAAAAAACGAATTGAGGGCCCCTGAGTATTGTAAAATGGTTGTAATAATTTAGAAAAATTTGCGGGCTTGTGGACAACTCAGCAAAGTGTTCTCGCAATCTGTTGAATGGTATAAGTATGTATATGGACATCATTTTTATATTACTCATATAAAAAAAAAGGAATTAAGGGCTCCCGGCCCCAAACGTAATATTGCAAAAAATGATCTACTAATGCAGTGGTTCTCAACCTTCCTAGTGCCTCGACCCTATAATACAGTTTCTCATGACGTGGCGACCCGCAGCTACACAATTATTTTCGTAGTTGCTACTTCACAGCTGTAAGATATGTGTTTTCAGATGGTCTTAGACGACCCTTGGAAAAGGGTCCCGTGACCCACAGGTTGAGAACCGCCGTACTAATGTATCCACCTTTGCGGGCTCGCTCACAACAAGTCACCAACGTTTTACCACAGTCGGAGGAATGGCATAGGAACGCATACGTAAATTATATTTATATGGCTCATATATACTGAAAACCAATTGAGGGCCCGTGGCCCCAAAACGAAATAGGGTAAAAAGGTTGCAATTACTCAGAAAAATGCGCTGGCTTGTGGACAACAACTGACCGAAGTTTCGTCACAATCGCATGAATGGTATATCAGCGCATACGGATTGAAATTATATTTAAAGCCATTTTCATTGTTTCTATAGTATACTAGTTACTATCCTAGTGTCTCATTTTTATTTTACTTAGTTTACATGTTTTTCATAATTGTAAAGCGCTTAGAGCTTTATGGTAAGCGCTATATAAAAATGCCTAAATAAATAAATAAATAAATATTTATATAGCTAATACAAGAAAAAACGATCATAGGGCCCTTGGCTCAAAACGGAATATTTTAAAATAATAATTAGTTGTAAAAATTGCAAAAACGTTTGCGGGCGGGCACACAACATCTCACCACAACATCTCACCACAACATCTCACCACAACATCTCACCACAACATCTCACCACAACATCTCACCACAACATCTCACCACAACATCTCACCACAACATCTCACCACAACATCTCACCACAACATCTCACCCCTACATCTCACCACAACGTCTCACCACAACATCTCACCACAACGTCTCACCACAACATCTCACCACAACATCTCACCACAACATCTCACCAAAGGTTTCCGCATTCCGATAAATGGTGTAGGAGTGCATACGGACATTATTTTTTACAAAGCTTATATTAAAAAAAAAAAAGAAACTAATTTTTTTTAGAAGTGTCGTAATGACTCAGAATAATGCGCCGGCTTTTGGATCAAAACTAACCTAAGTTTTATTGTAATCACATGAATGGTGTAGGAGAAGATACGGGACAGACATACAGACATACATACAGACATACATACAGAAAGATATTCATTTATATATATAAGGGTGTTGTTTATAATGGTGTTTTTGTATAGTGGTGTTTTTGTATATAATGGTGTTTTGTGTTTAATGGTGTTGTATATAATGGTGTTGTTGTATATAATGTTGTTGTTGTATATAATGGCGTTGTTGTATATAATGGCGTTGTTTTATATAATGGTGCTGAGATGAATAGGTGCAGTGTTTTCCTCAGTTAATTTACTCCAGCCTGGGTGATTTCAGATGTTTTGATGGGCAGTGCCAGTGGCGTGTGAACGGTGGGCGCGTCCCTGTCGGACCTCGTTCAATTTAGGGAGGGGTGGCATTTTTGGCCTAATACAGAGTTTTTCTCGTGGATGGGCGGGGGGCGGAAAAAGCTTTGCCCACTCAGGGAGGCACTTGCCCTAGCTACGCCACTGAGCGACCAGGATCACAACATAAACTAAATTAATTTTAGCTGAGGGTATGTTTTAGATCCCTGCTAATCTTCACCCTTGAATCTATATAGCCCAACTATATATATACAAAATAAATTTCCATATAGCCCAACTATATATATACAAAATACATTTCTATATAGCCCAACTATATATATACAAAATAAATTTCTATATACCCCAACTATATATATATACATATATATAGAAAATACATTTCTATATAGCCCAACTATATATATATATACAAAATAAATTTCTATATAGCCCAACTATATATACAAAATAATTTTTTTTATAGTCCAACTATATACACAACATAAAGAAAAATTATTTATTTTCCATTCAAAAAAATCGTCTTTAATTAATTACTAACAGCAATTGTTGTTTAAAAAAAAAATTTTTTTTGTAACACTGTTATTTTGAGTAATGTGGGTGGGCAGAAAGCAGGGACGCCTATGACTACCGAGCAAAAATTAGGGAGGAACCTGGCAAGGGTTCAAAATCAAAAAGCTTGGGTGGCAGTCAGTTGCAGTGTGCATTATACATCATAATCATTGTTTCTTTTTATTGATTTTTATCGAAACTAAGTCAATTCCAAAGTCGTGGTCTGGAGTTCAATCCCCAGCAAAAGTCTAGACATGAAAATAATCCCCAGCAGCCCGGGTGGCTGGTACTCTTTAACCATGGAGGGCAACTCATCTAACAGAGGGCAAACTCTGAAATGAAACCCGGTGGTATGACTGTGACACTATGAAAATTCCGGCACACCCTGCTACTCCAATAGTGCAAAGGTGGATCATCCAACTTGCGTTATCCAGATACGTGGAGAAAAGTGGTATGTGTTCTAAGGAATAAGCGAACCAGCTTATCCTACATTTAAAAAAAAAATCCCAAGCCTTGTGAAGTCAAGGGAAGTCTACATCATTGTGATGGGAGGATGCCAAAAAAACAACAACAAACAAACAAAAAAACAATCAGTAGCACCTAAATGGAGTTGTCCACTTTCATTCATTGAATTCTTTCAGCCTTAAGCTGATAGTAACTTTCACACGAAAAGGGTGTCGATTCATTTCATCTATGCAGTTTGATAAAATGGCGACGATACGATACTACTTTCATATTTTAGCAAACTCGGGCAAAATTCCTCTTCGTGAACATTTACCTTTGATATTGACTTGTTCCCTAGCTGCTCACCGCAGTCCTGCTTGCCGGTTTGCCTCTCATTTCATTGGATGGACTCCCCGGAGGTGAAGAAGTCTACCCCACCGACTTTAACGACCCGTACGTCATATTCGCCGTGGCCGCCACTAACGCTTACTTCGCCTCGCTCGGAGACAACGACGTCAGAATTGGCGACACCATTGTGAAAGTCACCTCGCAGGTAGCAAGCTTTTCCTTAAATATTTTTATGGTTTCTGTGTGTACACTGAGGTAAACAAAATGAGTAGCCTTAAAACAGTAACTGAATTTATGTTATTACGGTAGATCGTTGTGTGAACTAAATGTGTTCATTCTCGTTTGGGGCCGAGCCATTCCAGTTTGATGGTCCAGGCTCGCACATAGCAGGGGTGCCGCATCAGTTGGGCGTCGCCATAAATTATATTAACGTGGGGTTTCGGGAGAGCTCCGAACTCCAACACTTTTCAATGCAGGGCAATCGACCGGCCATTGCAGTGGGACATTTTTCGACTCCTTTTTGTGTTTATGAAGCTCTGATGACCTCGTTCTAACTTCCACCGTGATCATCATATTTCGGGTTTACCATATTCCGATAAAGCTTACGAGCCGGTCCTTCTTTTCCCAAGCTCTCAAACAATTGCTCTCTAAAAATGATCTTGTGACTTTGACTTGACCCCCGGTTGGGTCATCGGTCGGATGTGGTTGGGAAGCGCATTGTCTTGCTGGAGTGTCAGCTCGCTCATTTAGGGCAATACCGGCATGTCCAGAGACCAATTGAAGGACCATTCTGACTCCATGTGAAATTATGTCACGTACTAAATCAAATATGGCAGTGACCATTTTCGTGTCTAAAGAGCACTCACAGTTTCATAAACAACCTGTAAGTCTGTAAACACAGCGATGACCGGAGAAGATTTTCTTCAAGCTAATGAATATAGCAGAATTAATATCTACATTTATTTTCGCTTTTATAAACTGTCACTGAAGATTTTGACTACAGGGCCTTGGAAGGATTTAATCTTCCGCAAAGCTGCCTCTGTAATTCAAGAGGGCTAGAACTTGTGACCGTTACATTTCCAGTACCAGACATATTTGAATAGCAAAACTTTGAGTCGGTGATCTCTCCGGGATCAACCGCAGTTTCTGCCTGTTTTCCAGTATAGGGTGCATTCTCTCAAGTTCGTGGACTGCATCCATTAAAGAGGGTCTCTTAAGCCTTGCCTGCTTCACCCACTTGACTTGTGGCTAAAAAACATGCCCCTGTCCTTGCCGTCCATTGGTATCCTTCTATCGTGGTAAGAATCACCTTTACTTTCCAAATGTTGATTGGTTCCACGTGTAACAGTATGCCCACAGTGGCCAAGGACTATGAATGCGCGCTTCCACACCTTCAACAGAATGCCCACGGTACTAGTTTTATGGTTAATGATTAAAGGCGTTTCGAGTTCCCTCCCAAATCAGTGAGCATCTGAGCTTTCCACGTTTGCAGTTGGCTAGAGCCGTTCATCTGAGCTTTCCACGTTTGCAGTTGGCTAGAGCCGTTCATCTGAGCTTTCCACGTTTGCAGTTGGCTAGAGCCGTTCATCTGAGCTTTCCACGTTTGCAGTTGGCTAGAGCCGTTCATCTGAGCTTTCCACGTTTGCAGTTGGCTAGAGCCGTTCATCTGAGCTTTCCACGTTTGCAGTTGGCTAGAGCCGTTCGCAAATCGACCATCGTAAAGTGAGCTGTGAATACCTCGATGTGAGGGGGGGGGGGGCCATTCGTTGGTTCCTGGCCCCAAAAAGGCGTTTGATTCTGAGGCCGTCTTTTTTTTCTTCTCAGCTATTTTTAATGGATTCTTGCTTTTGGGCTTATCCAAGCTGGAGAGATTAACGAGCAAACGTGTCACATGCACTAACCCTGTTTAAATCTGTTTATCTGAAGGAACACTTTCCGGACTTAGGCCGTCCAACGAGCAACTGGTGTTTTCTTTTTTTTGTTGTATTTTTTTCCACCTTGACCTTTGCTTGACGAACGCCTTCAGAGTTTTGTTCCAGCCTGGTCTGAAGGTTTGTTTTGCATTTTTTTCTCGGGCTGACGCGTCTGGGCACACCGAGAATTTAACCAATGAAATATTCGTACTAGACCTTTATTCGGACATGTATCGACCAGAGAACTTTATGGGGGGGGGGTATAATATATATATATATATATATATATATATATATATA